TCAATGGAAAAATATCCTCAGGTGAGGATTAACAAAAACTCCACAAAACGCCCTGGCCGGTTTGGCTCAGCGGTTAGAGCGTTGGCCTGTGGTCCGGAGAGACCCGGGTTCGGTTCCTCCTAAGGGCACATACTTCGGTTGCAGTTTGTCCCCGGCCCTGGTTGGTCGTGTGATGGCAGCCACTCGATGTGTCCCTTTCACATCGATGTTTCTCTCTCTCTATCTCTTCCTCTCTCTCCCTCCCACTCTATCTGTACAAAAAATGGAAAAATGTCCTCGGGTGAGGATTAAAAAAAAAAAATTAAAAAAAACCCCACAAAACAATAAATATTTTTAAATTATGATTTGCATGCATATACTAAGTTGCAAATGCATTTCTTATGTGGGTGATGGTCAAAAATGTTTCAAAGTCACTAGGCTAAAGTATGGTGAATGCAAATGGACAGGAGAAAGAGGAGATGAAATTAAAGAAGTTTGTTTAAATACATTTTATTTTATTTTTTATCCTTACCCTTGGACATTTTTGCACTTTGAGATATAGAGTGGGAGGGAGAGAAGGAGGAAGAGAGAAACATTGATGTGAGAGAGACACATCGAGTGGTCGCCACCCACATGACCCCAACCGGGGCCGGGGACAAACCGCAATAGAGGTACGTGCCCTTAGCAGGAACTGAACTCGGGACTCTCTGGTCCGCGGGCCAACGTTCTAACCGCTCACCCGAATCGGCCAGGGCTTAAATACGTTTTATTTTATTTTTTTTATCCTCACCTGAGGACATTTTTCCATATTTCGTTCAGATAGAGTGGGAGGGAGAGAGAGCGGTTAGAGCATAGGCTTGCAGACCAAAGAGTCTCAGGTTTGATTCTGGTCAAGAGCATGTACCACGGTTGCAGTTCGATCCCCAGTCCTGACCAGGGTTGGTTGTGTGGGAGGCAACCTATTGATGTGTCTCTCTCACATCAATATTTCTCCCTTCCTCCCACCCTATCTGAAAATCAATGGAAAAATATGCTCGGTTGAGGATTAAAAAAAGAAAGCTGAAGACAGTGAAAAAAGGAAGAGCTTAGGATAGAAGAAGCAACAGGAGAGAGACTAGGCGGGCTGCTTTGGCTCTCTAGAAATGTTATAGGAAATAAATGAGCCTAATCAGGGCTACTTCAACTCACTGGAAGGTCAGAGAAAAGGGGTCTTGGAGATAAATTAAGATAAATTAAGGGGTTAGTCTGGGATGAGCTGCAGCTGCCCATTGTTCCCCTGGTTGTAGGTCTTGTGGGGACCCTTACAGTTTAGGAGAAACACCTGAGAGAGAAGAAAGGCGTGGGCATGCTCCCTGGAGAGGATCCTGGTAGATTTTGTTTTAAAAATATGTTTTTTTTTTTTTTTTTTTTTTCATTATTGATTTAGAGAGAGGGAGAGAGAGATAGAAACATCTATCAGCTGCCTCTTGCACTCCCCCTACTGGGGATTGAGCCCATGTGCCCTGACTGGGACTTGAACAGGGACCTCTCAGTCTATGGGACAATGCTTAACCCACCAGGCCACACTGGCCAGATGGGGCAGTCACACTTTTAAACCAAATCTATACTTTATTAAATATACTCTGTTTTTTTTTTTGTTTGTTTGTTTTCCTTTATTGATTTTAGAGAAAGAGGAAGTGAGAGGGAGAGAAACACTGATTGGCCACCTCCTGCATTCTCCCCACTGGGGATCGGGCCCACAACCTGGGCATGTGTCCTGACTGGGAATTGAACCAGCAACCTTTTGGTGCATGGGTTGACTCTCAACCACTGAGCCACACTGGCCGGACTTAAATATACTCTTTGTAGGTATAATATAATGCATTAAAAACAGCCTGGCTGGTGTAGCTCAGTGGATTGTGCATCATCCCATGGACTGAGAGGTCCAGATTGATGTTTCTCTCTCTCCCTCTCTGCCTAAAAAAAAGTGTGGCCTGGTTCGTTTTTTTCTTTCAAATTATAAGAAAAAGTTTAGCCCTGGCCGGTTTTGCTCAGCGGTTGGAGCGTCAGCCTGAGGACCTGAGAGTCCCTGGTTTGGTTCCTGGTAGGGGCACGTACCAAAAGAAAAAAGAAAAAGAAAAAGTTTATTTAGACAGTTAGAGAGGTAGTAGAAATGAACCAACTGGGTTGCATAGATTCAGGAAACAAATCATAGAGGCTAGAGAAGGGCCCCTGGAGCTTAGGCAAGAGAAAGGCAGGAAAGGCTGGGGCCAGGCGCCCCATGCCAGGCTGACTTTTTAATATGCTGGTTTGGGTACACTGGACCAGCACCAGGCAAGTCTGCCACATAAATCTTCCCAAAAGCTTGTTGGAGTTGTGGAAATTTGGTCCCTGATTTTGTTAGTTGACTCCTCAGTTTCTGACTTGGAGATTGGTTCAATAATGGTAACATTCACGAAGATACAGGGTATAGGCAGGGACAGAGGAGACTGGCAGTCTGGGAGCCGCATCAGAATAATTTTTCCAGCCCAGCGGCTGTGGCTCAGGGGATTGAGTGCAGCCAATGGACTGAGAGGTCCTGGTTCATTTCTGGTCAGGGCACATGGCCAGGTTGTGAGCTCCATCCCCAGTAGGGGGCGTGCAGGAGGCAGCCCATTTATGTTTCTCTCTCACATAGATGTTTCTATCTCTCCCTCTCTCTCTAAAAAAGAAAAATCAATAAAAAAGAATAATTTTTCTATAATAAAATAATACCTAAGTGCAGCTGTGGAGAGGTTAACGAAGACTGGTGGGTAAGGCTCCCTTGATTAAAATTTTTAAGTGGAAAAAAGAATCAGGTTTTGGTTCTTCAGGAAATTATCCATAGAACTGGGCACGGTTTTATGATCCTTTTATTCTCAAAACAATCATGCGAGGTAGGTATTACTTCCTTTCGCAAAGGCTTAAAGAAGTGAAGCAATTTGCACCAAGTCTCGCAGTGAGGGGCCTAGCCACACATCGAACCCATTCCACCGCCAAAGCCTCGCTCCTGAGGCGGGGCTAGTGCGCAAAGCTCTTTTTGCCCCAACCCCGGGCAACTTCCGGGAGATTGCCCGAAAACGTCCGTGCGCTTGCGCTGTCTCGTCCGTGACGTCAACCACCCCATCCCGCCCCTTCTGGAACGCGGACCTGCGGAGCGGGCCGGCGGCCATTTTGTGAAGCGGCGGAGGAGGTGGTGTCTGCTGTAGGCTCCGGAAAGCCGTTCGCGCAGGGGCTGTCGGCCGCGGGGCGGAGGCACTCGCGTGGGGGGTAATTCGGGTCTGGGTTCGGGTGCCGTGCAGTTCTCCCCGGTAAGACTCCCGCAGCCCCGGAACGGGCGGGGCTGTGCGGGGCTCGAGCCGCCCCTTGGTGGCCCGGGGCGGAGCCTTCGGAGGCCTCCGAGCCCGCCGCAGCGAACACCCCACACAAAAGGGTCGGGCACGTATGCTGGGGTCCTGGGGAGACACTTGCACCTCTAAGGCCTGAGAGTGTGCAAGAAGGACGGAAGGCACTACGAGCCTGCATACTGAAGTGGGAATGAGGCTATAGCGAGGACGCCCCCGTGGTCTGAGAGGGAGGAGGCCAGAGCTGGGTGGCCCAGCGGCAGTGAAAGCACACCTACATCCCGAGTGAGCAAGATTTTCTCTGTCCCCAAAGGGGGCAGAGATCATAACTACATTTCTGTGCTCCGAAGTCAGATCATCGTAGTGAGAACACTCCCTCCACCCGAAGTGTTTCGAAAGGAGGCCCCTGGGGCCTACCAGAAAAGGGACTAAAATTAGGACACACCTGTGGAGAGGAAGCTGTAGTCGGTACTTTCCTAAGAGTCTAGGAAAGAAGTTTCGGAACTGGCTGATTTCGTGGCCCGAAGGTGGAGGGGGCTGCAGTTGGAATGCTTCCAAGGTCCAACGCTGGGGCGGGGCTTACCCTCGAGGGTATCCCTTGGGAGAGTCTCCAGCAGTGATGGAGGTGGAGGTCCAGTGCGATGTGGAATGTGGGTGCTTTGGGTGGAGAGTGAATTTTGAGTTTCTCTAGTGAAGGCTGGTCGTGCTACTTTGCAGCCACGTGAAATGGGTGGGAGGAGCTTTCAGGATCTACAGGTTAGTGACGGGGATGGACACACTAGTGCAGAGGCTTAGCTGCTAGATTGTAAGTATATGGGCTTTATGTGTGCCAACAATGTCTGCTTTATAGCGAAAAACTTGAGGGTCTTGAGTGAAGGTTACTCTGGGTTATTCAGCGTTAAACCGTGTTGGGAGTTGTATACTGAGAGTTGCGGACTCTAGGAGAGATTTCCGGACCCGAAAATCCTCCTTCGCCTCCCTGATTCCCAAAGATGACCCGATGTAAATTGGGGTCGTTGGCAGGAACCATTCTGTATTATTCAAGATTAGGGTGATGCCATTCAGAATAACTGGAAGAAAGAAAAAAAAAAAAGATCGTAACTGAAGCTTTGTTGGGATGACTTGTGACTGGAGTATTTCTCTTAGAGCTTCTTGCTTGACCGGTTTAAAATGGTGTCGTTTTGGGAAAATGCAGTATTAGCAACATAAATTGCCTTGGACTTTGTAATATAGTTTATATTGTTCATGTATTTAAGAGCATTTCCAGTTGAAAATAATTCTACAAGTCTGGACATATATATAGGTCGATCTTGTGTGTGTGTGTTTTTAATTACAGAAATATAAGACAAGAGTGATTTGTACTTGTTTTTGAAATGTGGTAGCTTTGATAGAATGGAGGATTTCTGGACTTTGTGGAAAGTATTTGTATTCAGGTGTTTTCCAAGAAGATTAAAAAGAAGTTGAGAAGAACTGTTACAGGTGGTTAAAATAATTTCATGGTAATTAAGTTTTGAAGAAAATAAATATTTAGTGTGTTTATATAAAAGTTGAGGATGTGCTTAGTATTACTGGAAATTTTTAGTAAGAAGGAATGTATTTTTATATAACCTTTATATGTTCAATCAAATTTTTTATTTATGGATTGTAATGCATAATTTCAATTTTTCTTACGTTCATATCTGTTAGGTGAAAAATGTGAAACTTTAGAAACCATTGTGGTAGTTACTTGGATCATATTGTTATGTACGAATACCAGTATACTTAAGGCTTCTTTCACTTTCTTTGACATGCCAAATATTTTGATTGTTGAATATTGAGAGTTTGGGGGCTGTTGGTATAATTTTTAGATGTGAAACTTGATTTTGTGGGCCAGTGTGTTCTAGGTGCTGAAATCCAGTGACAATTTCATACTGTTTTTATTTCATTTTGTAAAGATCCACTCCATCGTTCAGTTTAGATGAATATTTTTGTAGATGTTATAGGAAGAACTTCTAAGTGTCAGTAATGGTTACACAAAGGATGCTTTTAGATATCCCTCCTCAAAATGCAGGGACTGTTGTCCATTTCTGTATCTCCTGCCTGGCCCACCAGTACTTAATAAATATTCATGGAATAAATGAGTATTGTTAAATGTTTTAGGTCAACTAAGCAGAAAAATAACTTCACCTAATTTATAGTTTTTTCAGATTTTACTATCACCACTCATAAACCTTTTGGCCTGCGGAGTTTAGTTCATTAAATTTAAAACCAGCTTTTAAACCTTCAGACCAATACTGAGGGTGAATGTGGTCTGCTAGGTTAGAACTAGTATTGTTATGAAGTTTAAATCTAGTAAGATAATGAACATTTTTTGTTGGCATTGGGGGGGATTGAAAAATAATATTATAGTCTTTCTGGTAGGAGGAATAAATATTTAGAAATGCCTTGATTTTGCTACCTTTGAGTACTGACTGGCAGTTAATGAGAAAGTTGAGTAATGTGCTATCAAGGGGATACTTCCTCAGTTTCAGAATTGTTTCATTAAAAATAATCCCAGAATCTGAAATGTGATCTATTTGGGGATGGGAACAAAATCAAGTGAGTGAAGCTGTGGTGTTTTTTGTTTGTTTGTTTGTTTGTTTGGGGGGAGGGGTTGATAATGCCTATTATAATTTTATCATGCTGCTTGTAGTGTTATGCCCATTATGATTGGTTCTCTGTTGTTAATCTCTGAGGTAATTTGAGGGGCACGGGTTTTTGTTTCTTTTAAATCTGAAGAATTTAGCTCTGCCGTAGCCTGGTTCTTGTTGATTGAAAACTTACTATTGAACAAAGTTAAAATTCACTTTTGGATATTTATTACCAGATGAAGAGTGGAAATGGTTAAGTTGTGGTTTGTGCCTTGGCTTCCTGATAAAAGAGGATTGTTGTCAGACATTTTATTCTGAAATTCCAAGTGATTGGAATGGCTGGTAATTAAAATTTGTCCTCTCATAAATAATTTTTGTAGCAGATATTTGTAATTTGCGCGTGTATGTATGTGGTATTTGTAAAGCTGAAGCAGGATCGCTGTGTTAGGACTAATTCCTTAACATAAAGTGGAAAAATTTACTCGAGTAAGCTTCTTTAGATCTTCTGAAATGTATCAGTGGACTTAATAGCAGATCAGGCCTATTTTCTCCTTCTTTACCCCTATGCTCATAGGTAAAACATATTTGCATATAATTGTTTCAGTCTTATCCTTCTAAAATTCACCAAAGTTTAAGGTGATTGGAGTGGGTTTTTCATTTTGATATCCTGCATTCAGTTGCTAGCTGACATTTAGAATACAGGAATGAGTAGGTTTCCTGAAAAACAGTGATGCCTTTAATTAAATTATTGTATTCTTCACAAAGGGAAGTGTAGAAAACAAAAGTACTTCAGTTCTCACTTTATATTCCTTGCCTATTTGAAGGTGAAGATGTTAACAGCAAGAGTAGTGAAGTACTGGCTTCCAGCCTGAACTTTCTGTGTACTTTTCTTTGGTATAGAGTGAAGTGGACTTTCCCTTGTGCTGAAATAGAAATTCACAAATTTCTGTCTAGACTGATTTTGTTTTTATTTATTTATTTTTGTTTTATCTTTTTTTTTTAAGGTTGATTTTGTACTTTAAATTGAACATGTAAACCTTGAACTAGGCATTCGACAAGTTCAGATGGGCTTCTCAATTTTTCCTTATTACAGTTATTTCTGGCATCCTGTAAAAATTTCTGGGAATAAACCTACTATGTTTCTTTCCAGATGGACATAAGGTGCTTTCTCAGGTCTGGAAGGGAAGAGGCTAAAGAACCTGTTTCCCTTACCTTTAGGGTACATGTCCTGGCCCCCCACGAGATCTTTTGAGAGAGACATCTCTGTGAGCCATCAGTTACCTCCCGCACCACAATTGGGGTCAGGGATAGAACCCTCAATCAAGACACATGCCTTGACCTTGAGTCTCTTTGGTCTGAAGGCCGATGCTGAGCCAAACTGGCCAGGGCCCCACCAGATCTTTTGAATTAGAATCTCCAAGTAGTGGATCATCTGTTTATCACAAGTACTTATCTAGAAAATTACCCTGGTTGTTTGGCTCTTAGTCTTTATGTAAAGCGAGCTTTTTTCTGTTTTACATTTCCCTTTGTGACCCGTTTAAATAAAGAGTTTGAAAACTCTTTAGACTTCATTAGGATCGATTTATACAACATAAAACATGAATAAATACAATGCTCTGGGGTTTTGGAAGCATTGTTTATGAGATATTTGCATAGCTTTGTGGCAATACACTCAGGGTTCTTGAGTAATTTGAGTAGTTGTCTATAAGATATTTAGCTTGTCCTTCAGAAAAGTTTGGAGTAACACTAAAAATTTTAAATGTTTTGCTTTTTTGTGATGACTTTAAGCTCAATGATGGTATCTTGATCTTGAAAGATAGTAGTTAAAAATGAGCATCATTCTAATAGTATTCTATTGTTAATCTTAATATCTAACCGATAATTTTCTTCTGTTTTATTTCTTTAAATTAAAAAATGACCTTTTGAATCTAATTGTCTAATCATTTGGTCATTTATATTGCTTGTGAATTGTTCATGACTTCAGTTTGGGAAAATTTTCAGTGAAAGATGAGTGATCTGTTTTTACTTTAGGAAATGCTCTTAATATGCTAGATGTTTTTAGGGATTTTTAAAAATAAGTTTCTGGGGACTGTTATGGGTGTTAGAAAAAAAAAACACTTGTCCTTAATGTTTTGAACCCCAGTGGTTTTAACTAGGAATTAGTCCGTATAACCAGATCTGTTTTTTTTATTTTTATGATTGATGCTATTTTTGGTGCTAAGGAAAATACATATTGAAAGAGTAATTGCAATAATTTTCATGAGTACTCGAGTTGATGACTTAATTTGTCCAGGAATTGTTACTGTACAAACTTGTTATTTTGCTTTTTCATAAAAGATTTGGTGAGAACCTGAGAAAATGGGTCATAGTTGGACTTGTATTGTGGAATTTTCTAGACTGGTTTAATCATCAAGTGATAAAAGCAGTTACCAGCTGTGAAGCTGAGAGCTTTATGAATGTTTTAGTTTCCAATTGGTTCATTCTTGGGCTAATTTGTGACACATTCTTGATGTATGTAAATATATAATGCTTTGAGAGATACTCATGTGAAAGCAATACTGAGTAATACACATGTAGGATTTTGGTACATGTCTTTTTCTTCTTTTTTTTTTCTTTGATATGCATTCTAATGAAGTACTCTGGTTTCACACTCGCCTTGGTAATGTACAGTTCAGTGTGGCCTGTGCGTGTTTTGTGTTTCCTGCATTGATTTTTGCCTCCGTTTATTCTCTATTGCAGTCTAAAAGTTGGTTTTAATTGGTTGCCCACAGGATTGACATGGCCTCTACTTCTTGTTAAGAAAACATCTCTTGTTTTATCAGGTAAGAGATTTTGAATAGAGGGTTTGCTTTTATAAAAAATAAAATGAGATAGCTTATTAAGTACCATGAAAATACATGTAGTAAATTGTGATTTTTTTTTTTTAACAAGCTTATCATAAAAGATATAAGAAGATAGGAATGGGGTTGGGATGGATTGGGTACCATGATGGAGTTGTTGCTTTCTTTGGGGGTCTGTTTATGGAATTCCGGAATTCCTGATTATTAGGCAGTAAGTAGCTGTTTTTTTCCTCAGTAGCATTTAGACTAATTACAAATACAGGTGCTCGTTATTGGTATGGTTTTTTAATATTCCTCGGAAGTATAGACATAGATAATGGGTCATATGTTTTAGAATACAAAATTTGACTTTAATGGAACCTCAATGATTGGAATCTAACCCTCTTATTAAATAACTAAGGTAGGCTCCAGATAGGTTGAATAATGTATCTGTCAAACAGGTACTTAGTAACAGAATAGCAGATAGTATTTTTCAGAACCTAAAAGCTTTTCCATTTTAGATGGCTTTATGAATAAATCTTGTACTCTACTTTGGTTTAGGTCTCAGCCTTTTTATAGCTGGTAATCTGGGCAGATTTTGAATATCATGTTTTTATGTGTACCTTGTACAGACTTTCACTAAATTCCTTCTCTTAGCAGCAAATGGTTTGAAGACTCACTGTGTGTGTCACTTTAGCCCTTTGTTCAATTTTTGTGTTCTTGGGCCTTATCAAGTCCCCATTTTTATTGTCCCAGTGCAAATTAACAGCTCTCAAGTTGGTTTGGGTACATAGAGTACCCATGATGCTTCTCCCATACCTAGTGATTGAATGATTAAGCACTTTTTGAAGTTGAACAGGAATGCTGTCTCTGTTTTACTTGCATATAGCCAGTAGAGTCAGGAATGTAATGACTTGGAAGCTTCTTAATGAACTTCCTGTTAGACTGCTAAATAGTAAATAAAGAGAAGAGTCTGTTGGTGTGATTGATTTTTAGTATATTTCTTGTTGACTCTTGCAGACTAATTATAAAAACTTCCCTGCTCTGCCAGTTTTTAGTATTTTATAATGTTCTCACAAAGAGCGTTTTCTGTTTGCTAGTCCCTCTTCAGGATTACATTTGAAGGTGGCGTGTGTGTGTGCAAACTGTCAGAGCCAAACAGTATATTTCTCTTTTCTGCACAGCAATCATAACATTGAACTATAATTACAGATTTTTTTGTGTTGAGTTAGTATTCATATAGTATTTAACATTGGAAAACTGCTTTTACAGAGTGGTAGAGTTCTTGGAGCTTGAAGCAGGAAACTTTGCTCTTCTAATGTTCTCACTTAAGAAGATAAAACCAAAGCACAAACACTTTATAATTTCCCTGAGGTCACAGAGCCAGTTTAATAAGTTTATATTTAAAAGTTGATTTTTGCACCCTGGCCGGTTTGGCTCAGCGGTTAGAGCGTCAGCCTGTAGACCAGAGAGTGCTGGGTTCGGTTTCCACTAAGGACATGTATCCCGGTTGCAATTTGTCCCCGCCCCAGTTGGGGTCGTGTGGGTGGCAGCCAGTCAGTGTGTCTCTTTCACATTGATGTTTCTCTGGACCACAGGCCGACACTCTAACAACTGAGCCAAAATGGCCAGGGCACATTGATGTTTCTCTCCCTCTCTGCCTCCCACTCTTATCTGAAGATAAATGCAAAAATATTCTCAGGTGAGGATAAAAAATAAATACATAAATAAAAGTTGATTTTTTCTCCTGGCCAGTTTGGCTCAGCGGTTAGAGCATCCGGTTGTAGACCAAAGAGTCATGGGTTCGATTCCGGTCAAGGGTATGTACCTTGGTTGTGGTTGGTCCCCAGCCCTGGTCGTGGTCTAGTGGGAGGCAACCAGTCAATGTGTCCCTCTCACGTCTGTGTTTCTCTCTCTCTCCCTCTTTCTTTTTACTTCCCAATCTATCTGAAGATAAATAGAAAATTATCCTCCAGTGAAGATTAAAAAAATAAAGTAAAATAAAATAGAAGTTGATTTTTAAGATGGCTTGGGCAACACCCTATGTTGTTGACCACATAAGTGCAAATTAATATTTTTTTATTTTTTTCCAGTGCCAAGAATTTTTGTGTTGCTTTACAAAAGGCTTGTTATTGGCATTTCATCTTTGAAGCTGTAAGAACTGAACTACTGAAATTTTACTTAAATCTAGAAGAAACGTAAAAAAAATTATTATTATTATTATTATTTTGGTTAATCCTCACCCAAGGATATTTTCCACTGATTTTTTTTTTTTTTTTTAATAGAGTAGAAGGGAGGGAGGGAGGAAGGGAGAGAAACATTAATGTGAGAGAGAAACATTGATTGGTTCATCTCCTGACCGGGGACAGAGATCGAGCCTACAACCCAGGTATGTGCCCTTCCTTGATCAGGAATTGAACCGGAGACCCTCGGTCCACAGGCCAATGTTCTAAACACTGAACCAAACCAATCAGGGCTAAAAATATTTTTAAAAAAATTTTTTAAAATTGATTTTAAAGAAAGAGGAAGGGAGAGGGAGAGAGAGATAGAAACATCGATTGGCCGCCTCCTGCATACCCCCTACTGAGGATCAGGCCTACAACCTAGGCACGTGCCCTGACCAGGAATCAAACTGGTAACCTCTTGGTGCATGGGTCGATGCTCAACCACTGAACTACATCGGCTGGGCTAAAAATATTTTAACTGATTTTTAGAGAGGGGGGAAGGGAGAAAGAGAAATGTCCATCAGCTGCCTCCTGCACACCCCTACCAGGGATCAAGCCCTCAGCCAGGTCTTTGCTCTGACCAGGAATTGAACTGGCAACCTTTAGTTGCAAGGGACAACACCCAACCAATTGAGCTTTACCAGCCAAGGTGAGAAATTTTTTTTTTTTAATATGTTTTGATTGATTTTTTTTTTTTTTTTTTTTAGAGAGAGAGGAAGGGAGAGAGAGATAGAAACATCACTCTGAGAGATACATCAATTGGCTGCCTCCTACTACTGCATGCTCCCTACTGGGGATTGAGCCCACAATCTGGGCATGTGCCCTGACCCAGAATCAAACCGGTACCTCTCAGTCCATGGGATGATGCTCAATCCACTGAGCCACACCAGCTGGGCAAAACAAGACATTTTTTAAATGGAGGGTGGGGAATGAGTCTCAATGGACCTGAATTTTAATTAAAACCGCCATGGTGAATGGCACTGTAACTAGGTTCTACTTTTTTTTTTTTTTTAATTTTTTTTCTTTATTGTTTTGAGAGAGAGAGGAAGTAAGAGGAAGAGAGAGATAGAAACGTTGATGAGATAGGATATCGATTGGCCGCCTCCCGCATGCCCCCCATTGGGGATTTGGCCCACAACCTGGGCATGTGTCCTGACCGGGAATCGAACTGGCGACCTCTTGGTGCGTGGGTCGATGCTCAACCACTGAGCAACACTGGCTGGACCGGGTTCTACTTTTTGAAGTGACTATATAGGTAACTAAGATTTTGGCTGTTCGGTATTTTTTTTGGGTTCTTAGCATGTATTAACCTTTATAATAAATACTTTTGGCCCACAACCTGGGCATGTGCCCTGACCAGGAATCAAATTGGCGACCTCATGGTGTATGGGTCGATGCTCAACCACTGAGCCACACCAGCCAGGCTATAATAAATACTTTTGTATATAGTTTTCTTTAATAAATAAAGCCATAAGGCAGATTGAAGAGTTTTAGGGTGAAATATGGTGTCAGTTTTTATTTGAGATTTGAAACTACTTTAGTGTTAAGTAATATTTGTAATTAATTAATTTTCTTTTTCAGTTGGTTTTTATTTATTTTATTGATTTTAGAGAGGAAGGGAGAGAGAAAGAGAAACATCGATCAGTTGCCTCTCATACACACCCCAACCGGGGACTGAACCCGCAATCTGGGCATGTGCCCTGACCAGGAATCAAACTATCGACCTTTTAGTGCACAGGGTGAAGCTCCACCAATAGAGCCACACCAGTCAGGGCTGTTTCTGTTGTATTTTAGATTGAGCTATATAAAATGACTGATAATTCATGAAGTTGTCAGGTATATAAGGGATGCCAGGCTAGTTTTCAGTATCAACTTTGATGTATCCTTTGCATGTTTTCTCCCTATAGACTGTTAAATTTGTGTCCTCATGTGACTTACACATTTTTTAAAAAATCTTAAATCTTACTTAATTGTGGTCTGAATGATGTAATTGGTGATTTACTGTCCTGTGGTTGTTTTTTTCCTGAAACTTTTGAGTGTTGGGAATGAACTTCTAATTGTTTCCAGAATTATTTCCTTTTGGAAGTTGAAATTATCTAGGTTTTACATTGTAAATGGCGCGTGATATTCAGTTTTTAGAATACCCAAATATTTTAAATGACATTGCTTGTGATAGTTTGAGGAATTATTTGAGGGCCTAATGTGGTAGCTGGTCATTCTTGTAGCTAAAAACTTGGTGTGATAAACAGGAGTCTGACCTGGCCGTTGCCTTTTCTCATCTGCAGGTGTGTGTGGTTTCAGCGCAGCATGGCTGTGGTCATCCGTTTGCAAGGTCTCCCAATTGTGGCGGGGACCATGGACATTCGCCACTTCTTCTCTGGATTGACCATTCCTGATGGGGGCGTGCATATTGTAGGGGGTGAACTGGGTGAGGCTTTCATCGTTTTTGCCACTGATGAAGATGCAAGGCTTGGTATGATGCGCACAGGTGGTACAATTAAAGGGTCAAAAGTAACTCTATTGTTGAGTAGTAAAACGGAAATGCAGAATATGATTGAACTGAGTCGTAGGCGTTTTGAAACTGCCAACTTAGATATACCACCAGCAAATGCTAGTAGATCAGGACCACCACCTAGCTCAGGAATGAGTGGCAGGGTTAACTTGCCTACAACAGTACCCAACTTTAATAATCCTTCACCCAGTGTAGTTACTGCCGCCACTTCTGTTCATGAAAGCAACAAAAACATACAGACATTTTCCACAGCCAGCATAGGATCGGCTCCTCCAAATATGGGAACTTCATTTGGGAGCCCAACGTTTAGCTCAACCATTTCAAGCACAGCCTCTCCAATGAACACAGTCCCACCGCCACCAATTCCTCCAATCCCAGCGATGCCATCTTTGCCACCAATGCCGTCCATTCCCCCGATACCAGTTCCTCCTCCAGTACCTACATTGCCTCCCGTGCCTCCTGTGCCCCCAATTCCCCCAGTCCCTTCTGTGCCACCCATGACCCCACTACCACCCATGTCGGGCATGCCGCCCTTGAACCCACCACCTGTGGCACCTCTACCTGCTGGAATGAATGGCTCTGGAGCACCTATGAATCTGAACAATAACCTGAACCCTGTGTTTCTGGGTCCATTGAATCCTGTTAACCCTATCCAGATGAATTCTCAAAGCAGTGTGAAACCACTTCCCATCAACCCTGATGATCTATATGTCAGTGTGCATGGAATGCCCTTTTCTGCAATGGAAAATGATGTCAGAGATTTTTTTCATGGGCTCCGTGTTGATGCAGTGCATTTGTTGAAAGATCATGTAGGTCGAAATAATGGGAATGGATTGGTTAAGTTTCTCTCCCCTCAAGATACATTTGAAGCCTTGAAACGAAACAGAATGCTGATGATACAACGCTATGTGGAAGTTAGTCCAGCGACAGAGAGACAGTGGGTAGCTGCTGGAGGCCATATCACTTTTAAGCAAAGTATAGGACCCTCTGGACAAACCCATCCCCCTCCTCAGACACTTCCCCGGTCAAAATCGCCCAGTGGGCAGAAAAGGTCAAGGTCAAGATCACCACATGAGGCTGGTTTTTGTGTTTACTTGAAGGGGCTACCATTTGAAGCTGAAAACAAACATGTCATTGATTTTTTTAAAAAATTGGATATTGTGGAAGATAGTATTTATATTGCTTATGGACCCAATGGGAAAGCAACTGGTGAAGGCTTTGTGGAGTTCAGGAATGAGGCTGACTATAAGGCTGCTCTGTGTCGTCATAAACAATACATGGGTAATCGCTTTATTCAGGTTCATCCAATTACTAAGAAAGGTATGCTAGAAAAGATAGATATGATTAGAAAAAGACTACAGAACTTCAATTATGACCAGAGAGAAATGATGTTAAATCCGGAGGGGGATGTCAGCTCTACCAAAGTCTGTGCTCACATAACAAATATTCCATTCAGCATTACCAAGGTGGATGTTCTTCAGTTCCTAGAAGGAATTCCAGTGGATGAAAATGCTGTCCATGTTCTTGTTGATAACAATGGGCAAGGTCTAGGACAGGCATTGGTTCAATTTAAAAATGAAGATGATGCACGTAAGTCTGAACGCTTACACCGTAAAAAACTTAATGGGCGAGAAGCTTTTGTTCATATAGTTACTCTAGAAGATATGAGAGAGATTGAGAAAAATCCCCCTGCCCAAGGAAAAAAGGGGTTAAAGATGTCTGTGCCAGGTAATCCTGCAGTTCCAGGAATGCCCAGTGCCGGAATGCCCAGTGCCGGAATGCCCAGTGCCGGAATGCCCAATGCCGGAATGCCCAATGCTGGAATGCCCGGTGCCGGAATGCCCAATGCCGGAATGCCCAATGCCGGAATGCCCGGTGTGGGAATGCCCGGTGTGGGAATGCCCAATGTGGGAATGCCGAATGCAGGAATGCCTAGTGCAGGAGGTGAAGAGCATGCCTTCCTGACTGTAGGATCTAAGGAGGCCAATAATGGGCCTCCATTTAATTTTCCTGGTAATTTTGGTGGGCCAAATGCCTTTGGGCCACCACTGCCTCCTCCAGGATTAGGAGGGGCCTTTGGTGATGTTAGGCCTGGTATGCCTTCAGTTGGAAATAGTGGTTTGCCTGGTCTAGGACTGGATGTTCCAGGTTTTGGAGGTGGACCAAATAATTTAGGTGGGCCAGGATTTGGAGGGGGGCCTCAGAATTTTGGAAATGGCCCTGGTAGCTTAGGCGGCCCCCCTGGCTTTGGAAGTGGCCCTCCTGGTCTTGGAAATGCCCCTGGCCATTTGAGTGGGCCACCAGCCTTTGGGCCTGGGCCTGGGCCTGGGCCTGGCCCAATTCACATTGGTGGTCCCCCTGGCTTTGGATCTAGTTCTGGAAAACCAGGACCGACAGTAATTAAAGTACAGAATATGCCCTTCACTGTGTCTATTGATGAGATTTTAGATTTCTTTTATGGCTATCAAGTGATCCCAGGCTCAGTTTGTTTAAAATACAATGAAAAAGGTATGCCTACAGGCGAAGCCATGGTGGCCTTCGAATCTCGGGATGAAGCCACAGCTGCTGTCATTGACTTAAATGACAGACCTATAGGCTCAAGGAAAGTAAAACTTGTATTAGGATAGCTGTTCACATCAATTCTTTTTAGGATAGATACTCATAGTGCTGTGATTAATGCATCCAGATTGTTTTCCTAGTATTTCCAGGTTAGAACCTGTGGATTGTTTCAATTGCATATAGATTGGTTTCTATAACATAGAGTATTGGTTGAATGTTTACAGAAGACTCACTACCAGGATAAACATTGCTGTATGTTACAGTAAGACTGTCTGGAGGGAACACAAAAATGATTTTGGCATACCATTAGAAAAACGATTTGTGAAACTCAAATGACGACATAAAGCTTATCAAGGAGTCTAGATTGGTTTTGTTTTGTACCATATGGGATGAAGAAAATAGAAGTGTTAATAGAGCTCATTAAGGGATGCTCTTGCCAGCTGCTGAAAAATAGAAGTTGGCTACTCTTGGAATTTGGTTTAAAGCTGGATAGATTTGCTTTGTTATAGGGTCAAAGCTTTGTCTAAAGTCCTCATTTTCTTTTAAAATTAAATAAAATCTCTGTATACAGATTCACTGTATGTACTTTTATTGCTTTTTGAGGGTTCTTGCTGTATAGACAGTCCTGCTTCTGAAGTTGCTGCTTTGTTTGCCTAATTGACTCATTTGTAAATGAGCAGAACTGTTTTGTTGTTTTTTAATATAAAACTCCACACTTGGTTTGTGCTTTAACCTTGAACTTTGATTTCTGATGTCACACTTAAAACTGGAATAAGAAAGACTTTGCCACAAAAATAAAATCCGGAGTTCTTTACCTACCAGAGCCTTTTTGGTTTGACTGCCAACTTTTAGTTCAGTCAGTTTTAAAATTGTTCATGTTGTTTGGATGGCATCAAAAACCAGAAACTGTTTTTAATAATCATTATTTAAGAAACCTGATTTGAAGTTCTGTTCGTGATAAACTAATGTTATGGCAATTTCCTTCTGTCCCAAATTTACGAAATTTTGGCCTATAACTAAACGCAGAGTCCATTCATAAGAAGGAACATTATTATAGCTAGATTTTTAAAACCAAAGTTGACATGGTTAGCTACGTTAGCAATAAATAGTATTAGAGAATTAAAAATCTATAAGCTGGGTTGTAGGTGATGCATTAATCCTGTTACTCAGAGGCTTTTGGTCTAGTTGTTTGATCAGGAGCCTGTTTACAAAAATTCTTCATAGAGAGTATAAGTGCAGCTGCCAGAGGGGAGAAAATTGAGACTCCTTGCCCTTTCATACTCTTTTCTTTGGCATTCAGGACACTTAGGCAGGAGGACCACATGGGTTCTGGTTGGTAAGTGTCCTTGTCATGAAAACATTTGCCTTACAATGTCCTGTCCTGCTCACTGCCACACAGGCTTTACTTATGGTTACTTTCTTTCTTAGTTAAGATATTCTAAAGAGGTATCACATAAACATGGATGGAATGGGAGATTGGTGAGACATCATGAAAAACAAATTTTGTCTTTTACATGGGCCTTTGTCTTGGTTTAAAATATCCCCAACATTTCCTACAAATCAATCTACTTACAAAGGGGTCAGCCTTTTAAAAAAAGTATTTTCTGGAAAAACAATAGTGCCTTTTTGGTGTTGCAAGTCAGTGGAACACTGAAATACAGCGTTGTGTAATTTAGAGTTAAGAGTTTTATGTTTGGTAAGATTTGGAAAGCCTTTTCATCACTACAATCTTAGAGGATTGACAGTTCAGGGTTTTTGTTTAGGGAAAGGATTGGTTAGACTTTCAAAAAGACATGGCTGTGTTGTGGGTCTTGATAATTCACAAATAAAATTTGCTTTGACAGATAATTAGATACTGCCTCAACTGAAAAAAGCAATATGATGTTTGTATATGCTGTTCAATTTAAGTTTTCTGTTAAGTAATCATTTCTCATTCCAAGGACAGAGTGCAGAAAACTTCAGCACTGTTAGGAGTTTTATTTCAACTGCAGATTATTTTCCCCACTGGAAAGCTGAACATTTTTATTTTAGAAAAATGGGTTGTTTGAAGATAAAGTCTTTTATCTTTTTTTACAATTTCTTTTGCTTATATGTTCGTACATTCTTATTAAATTTTTCATATACTTTATTGCAACTATTTTGTTATTCTACATCTTAGATAAATGCTGAAAAGGAAAACTTGATTTTATTGTTCATCAAATTAAATAAATTAAGAAAATAGTGATTGTGTAGAAATTGGAGCAAACTGTTTCATATTTGGTCGAATCACAACAGTGCTTTTCTTGTTGTGAAATGTAATTAAATGCTTTGCCCTTTGGAACTTGATTTTTGTGTACCTGAGACTTCTTACATATTACATAGTGCTAACTGCTAAGCATACTATTCATCTTGTGCTGGGCATTGGCGTTTGAGTCTTACAAAAATTCTTGAAAATATGTTATGTGAAACTATTCATACCTCTTTTTTGCACATTTTCTCATACAGACTAGGTTTTGGGTGATAACAAATTTACGTTTTCTTATTTGCTTTGTATGGTATGAAGGATTTGTAAAGCTTTGCTCAAAGTTGTGTGCATTTGTAAACACTATCATATTTACAATATTATGTGTAAATTGTATTGTCTATTTTGGTGACTGACATTAATGGAAGAGACTCTTTTCCATTAGGTTTAATATTTTTTCTACCCCCACCGACTGATTTTTTTTTTTTTTAGTTTAAAGTATTATAGAAATCTACAAAATGTATTTTATAAGTAAATAAATTTGTAAACTTTTTCTGGACTTTAGTGAAACATTTAGTTCACAAGCAACATTTGGAGGTGTGTTTTGTGTATACACTGTAGTTTGGATGTACAATTTTTAGTGGCTTCTTTTTTTTAATGCAACACTGTTGAGTGAAATGTAGTTCCTAGCTTTGTTCTCCAAGTTGTCAAAGCAGTGACAGTAAAATTGCTTTATATTTCCATTAGGAAACTTTATTCAAAATTTCAGAGAGTAATATTTAGCATTATTATATCCATCTTAAGCCACTGGATAAAAACCCAGGGCTATGTATAGAAGTAAGCAAACACATTTTGGGTGGAGATAACCTTGGATAAAGGATGCATGAAATTCTTAATCAAACTCAGTCTGTTTTATTGGATTCTGTCATTATAGACAGGTGTGGGTCAACATTTAACAATATTCCACTCATCAGTTTTAAGAACACTTAAAAAACAAGTAAAGAAAATGTAAAATTTGCTGTTAGTTAAATCTGGAAAGAATTTCTGGCAGTGATCACTTTTATAATTATTTACCATTCTATAGTGGTCCATACTTTAGAAACCAAACACAATAAGATGACTTATTGCCAATATGGCCAAAAATTGTCAGCAAATATGGCCTTGGCATCATTCAGCAGAGGTTTTTGTTTATAAAGATGAAGTCTTGGATACTGTTCAATAAACTTGTCACAAAATAAATCAGGCTGATGCTTTTAATGCTTTAACTGCACAAGAGTATTCTAATGAGCTATACCATCAGGTATTTTTTTAAAAAAACACCTGAAAATATATTGTGCCTTTGAAAAGGTGGATTTGGTGATCTTGGAGGTAACAATTGTTGCTTATCCTTGTCTACTAATGCAGAAGTATGGAAAGAAGAGGATACCTGGAACGGCAGGGAGGAAACTTGATTCTAGGTCAAATCTGTGGTTATTCACCCTTTAAGACATATTTTATGTGTATTTTGCTAGCAAGCCCAGTTCATTATGTGGACTCAACAAGAAACCAGATGTTCCTTTTCCCAGGAGTCTTAAAGAGGGCTGTGAATTGTCTTTTTTAAAAACATTGCTTTAGGAGATGGGAAAAGAAGTCTTCAGAATACATTGTCAATTGCCCATACCTCTAAAGATTTTTGTTTGTTTGTTTGTTTATTTGTATTTTGCATTAGTGTATTTGAGGTGGGGAAGAGGCTAGAGGAATCAAAATGTTGCTGCTCTCTGACATTGATGCTCTGGTTTTGTCCTTCCACATTTATTCAACTTCTACTGGGGGGAAAAAATGCAAATCAGAAGTTTTCATAAATTCCACAGGGTCCTTATGGGAACAAAACAAAACAAAACAAAACAAAACTGGATTGGACTTGCAGAGAAATTTGTGGGCTATTCCTTGTAACGATAGCTCTTGAAAAATATTTATAACTTTTACCTTTATCATGAAAGAATTTTAGCCTGTTTTGAGTTTGAATATCCAAATTGTATTAGAGGAGTTTAGACTAGACACTTAATCCCAGGTAGTTGCTGATCTGTTTTAAAATTACGAAGGTTCGACTAAGCATTTGAAAAATCACAGAGTGAAGTCAGCTGTCTACAGAGATCCAGACTGGCCTTTACCATCTTAAAGGGGTGAACTGTGTGCTAATAAGTGCTTTTCTTGCTCAGGAGAGATCACTCATTTCTATCATTCGTTGTCCATTTTTCAATGTTTTACAGCAAGAAACAGTTTATCAATTATGTGCATCACCACCATTCTCCTTATTTCTCCAAAGCAGAGCATTTTAGGATATGGTACAATGAAAACTAAGGCTATCCTTTTTAATTAAAAAAATTGTTTGATTTCAGTTTTAACGAAATCTGAAAAATTGACTCATTGTAAAATGTTCTGGGAAGACTGCTGTGGTGGTGGCACAGTTCTATGATGCTGCAGTGACTTTTCTGGGAAAACCCTTCTGTTCAACAGCATAAGTGAGTTCCAACTCTTATTGGTGCGTGCTCATGGAAAGGTTAATTATTTGCTGTTCCTGGATTTATTCTTGGTGCCTTGAGCTACTTTATGCCAAAGAACTCATAAACATCCTAGAATTACCTTTTTTTTCTGGATCTACATAACTATCAACAAGCAACTAAGGTGGCACTGCTTTTCTGCATATTGCTCTACTACTAAAAGTTCAGAAGGGGCAAAAAGCCACTAAGATGCTGCAAGCATTCCAGCCTGAGGGACAGAAGGACAGCTCTCAAAAAATCGGGGGGGTAGGAAATGGTGCTGGGGAAAATCTCATGAAATCTATTGCATTTTGTCAAGAGGCCCAGTGACCTACCCTCAGTGAAAATGTTGACAGGTCATAGAGACTAAACAGACGCCAGTTGTAGAGAAGTGGTATAATGGTACAGCAGAGCATTGGAGTTGCCACCCCAGCTGTTCTGAACATCTGGACTCTGACTTTAGAAACTTAATAGTTTTGAGTCATTTTTCCTGATCAGTAACAGGCTTGCTGTTTCATGTTGAGAGAAGGAGGAGATAAGTATTTTCGAGAAAATAGAGTCATGACGAGCAGAGAATATAATTCAATATGGACAGAGTCAAAGGTGTTGAATAAGCATAACATATCCCAAGAATGAGCTATCCTATATTAAAACAGGCTGCCCCTTGGTGTTTTATTCCCTTTCCATTCTAATGCGGCCAGTTTCCTCCTTTTATCCACTTGTACAGTAAGTCTCCTGGTAACCAGGACTATGACTTTTACTTAGACTGAAGCCCCCTCACTGCTCTCTCTGTAGCCGTAGCTTCCTAATTGGGATGAGGGAGGCATGAGTTCACTCACAGCTCCTGATTAGTGAATAAGATTTGTCATTTAGGCATTTGTGCTATATATCAAATATAACAACCACATTGTGCTACCACAAGTCACCTGTTAGTCCCCACAGATAACTTTAAGAAATTCAGCTACGTATGGGGTCTGAAGTCATACCAACTGGTGCTATTGCTGATTTTCTCATTTTCCTTTTCCACTTGCAAGTGAGTCAATGCTGCCACACTCCCCCACACATTGGGTTGCAATACAGAGGATCATGTCCTTTATTCATAACACTCCCTTCTGCAGTGTGGATCTATGGGACCAACAGGGTCTCTGCTGTGATTTGGCTAAAGTGGTAGGGAAATTAATGCACCTCTTTCTACTGAAGTAGATACTGCCAATTACCTTTGCTTCTGTGACCACTGAATTAACAAGTTGGACTTGGAAACATCTATTGCCTCCCAGCTTTTAAGAAAATTTCACATGGATATACAGCTCAGCTGTAGCTGTAAGCCTTGCTAAGTTTTTTGAACAGTATTGTACACCTAGCACTTAGATATTGTGGTGGAAAAGGAAGCAAAATAAGATGCCTATTTTTAAACACTAAAGTATTAAATTACACAAATTGTGTGGTTGTATTTCTACATGTATGAGATACACTTATGTCTCACAGGAACTGTATAAAGGGTTTCCTGGCCAATTACTAAAAGGTCAGACAGAAACAAATGTAATGGGAGCCTTGTTTGTAACCTGAGGGGAGGTGTGATGTCTAATCCCAAGGTTCTTGGGGAGGCAGTATGTTAATTTAGTAAAAGGAAATGATTAATAGTGTGAGGGCACATAGTGGCACTATCTAAAATAGTGCTTGTCCTAGAAGCTCTTAAAGTTGTCCCATATAATAGCACAGTCTGTGTGGTCAGTAGGGTAGACAGGCAGGAAAGGGTTGGTTCTAGGGGTGTCCTGGCCTAGCAGAGGGATAGAACTTTTCATCTTTTTAATAACCTTTGACTAGCTGCCAAATACCACTTCTTATGAATGCTCTAAGACATTCATAAATACTCCATAATTATGTGAGTTTCCCCATCAATTTAACTAATATACATAACTGACTACCTGAAGTTCATGCCTTTCTAGTTTGGATCAGTTTGATAGAATGTTTAGTTTTTTTGTATGAAATGTCAATCTCTTGGTCCCTTTTCTAGACCAGCACTGTCTGATAGGATTTTCTCCAATGGAAATGTCCTTATATGCACTAATATGGTAATTACTGGCTATAGTAGCTACTATTAAATTTAAATAGCCACATGTGGCTAGGGCCTACTGTATTGAACAGCAACAGAAAATTTTCCATGTCTGATCTTTGGAGTTTTCTGTGAGGTAGCACTGTCCAATAGAAATGAGTCACTTGATGTCAGTTTCATTTTTCTAGTAGCCACATTAAAAATGTCAAGAGCCCTGGCTGGTGTGGCTCAGTTGGTTGGGTGCAGTCCCATGCACAGAAAGGTTGCCAGTTTGATTCCTCATCAGGAATTCCCAGGTGCTGGCTCAATCCCTGGGGAAGGGGGGGGGGGGCGTGCAGGAGGCAGCTGATAGATGCTTTACTCTCATAGATGTTTCTCTCCCTCTCTAAAATTTGTTCATATTTTATAATGTAAAGGTTCATACGTGTGTGTGTGTCAAAAGAAACAAGTGAAATTAACTAATAATAAATTTAATCCCGTAAATCTGAAATGTTACCTCTTCAACATAAAAATTATTGAGATAGCGTATACTTTTTTTTTTTGTACTAAGATTTCAAAATACAACATGTATTTAACACCACATTGTGGTTTGAACTGTGGTGTTAATAAGCAAATAAGCATATTTCAAATGCTCAATAGCCAGATGTGGCTAAGAGATATCTTAGCACACATTTATATTTAAAAAGTTATTCCCTGTCATTTCTCTTTTATATCTGCTGCCTCTTTCAGCCGTTGAGTATTCGGATTTTGTTGCATTCCTCCTAGAATGTTTTCCTATCCTGCATGTTTACACTATTTTTGAAGAACTTAGTTACCTTTTTGACGGATCACACTGGTGGTTAAGTGAGTGACAGTTTTATAATGTAAAGCTATTAATCCTGCAGCAGAAGT